CCCCAAAACCCCAAAACCCCAAAACCCCACAATCCATAATCAGGTAGCTTGTCTTGAGTTGTTAATGAAATTAAATCAATGAATCAAATATTATATAAATATGAGTGGAATATGTAGATTGAACGAGTAACTTAAAAATCTCAAGGTCCATTGTTGAATCTATATGATTTATTCCTATACTTCTTTAATCTAATTTCCTCATTTTCGAAATCCTTATCTGAAAGCTCGATATTTACATCTATGTCCAGACAGGTTTTCTTGCTGAAAAAACTTTGATGCAATAATGATACTTGAACTGAGTATTAAACCATAAATATGCGGCCAAAAGAACTAGGAATGATAGATATCAAATTATTTGCATCGCTTATATCATTATCTTCTGTGTACTCTCGAAATTTAAGGCTGCTCTCCCTCTCTTTTTCAAATATCTCGTCTAAATTGATCTCGTAAAGCCTATTAAAATCTCTATCTCTAGTTTTTGGTTATATTCCATCATAGCTTTTCTTCCATATAGTTTGACTCAGCAAAGTATCATAGGCACTACTGGTGGAGATGTTTCCAGTGTGCAACCGGATTTGCCTGATTAGTTTGACTTACACTCTTGATATCCTCTATTTACTCTTGGTATTGTCTATTTTGTTGAGAATCTTGATTTTCTCACTATTTTATAAGTGATCTTACTCACATTTAATCTAGAATGAGCTTATGCCTCCTGAACCAAGACTTCCTAAACAGGACTAGACATACGATTAGCCAACTTCAATGAAGTTTTTCCTCCCTACTTTCTTTGAATGATCTCTAATAATGACTGAATGTTCTTTTTTCATTATCTTGTCGATTCCACTATTCGTATCATATATTGCTACTCCAAGTTTGTAGGAGCATTAAATATCAATTACACCGGTACCTTTGATATCTTGCTAAAAGTTTATAGTTGGAGGTCGTTTTGAACCTCCATTTTAAGTAAAATTAAAGTTGAATGTATGATGTCCTTGGGTGATACGATCAAATTGAGCCAATGCTTCTCTCTCTCGTAAGAATTTATTCTCATTTCTATGAATGTGATTACTCTTTGTGTTTATAGGAGCATACTCAAATTATTCCTTTCCGTCTAGTGATACTACTAGAAGACCAGACCTATTATAGTCCTTTTTCATTTCTATAATAATTCTGCCAGTGATATCCTCAGTCATATTAAATACAGGCTTGGATGGTACTATCTTTATATCATAAAGACTATTACTCTTAGTTTTGGATTGAACTTTGGCGTTTTAACTTCCCATAGTTACTTTACTTTAAATGCTTATTAGACTTAGATTATATAATAAATTAGCCTTATCTTTTAAAACATTTATTAAATAATTAATCTTAAGATACAGTAATCAATTCTATGCGGGGTTTTGGGGTTTTGGGG